GGGGGGCTGAGGTGTGGTAGGTTGTAGAGGGGGTTAGTCTGGGGTGGGGTGGGAGGTTGTGGGTGGGGAGATGAGATGGGAGAGTATTTTGGTGGGGGGTCACGAGGAGGATGGAGGGATTTGGATTGAGGAGTGGCTGGTTTGGGAAATGATTAGAGGTTGTGGTGTGAGGGGGAAGATGGGTGGGAGGCTTTGGGGTGAGTGGTTTGGGAATGGGAAATAAATTTGGGGCAGGCTGAGGGGTGGCTGGCTAATCTTGGTAGGTGGGAGACATGGATGGGGACTGGGAGGTTAGGTTAGACTAGACTGAGTTAGGGATGAGAGGTTATGATGATAAGTCATCTTAGGGTAGGCGGAGAGATAGGATGGGTGTCATACTGCTGTATTTGTTTGGTGGAAGGTGGTGGTTTGGAGGGATGCACTGGTTTGGGGATGGCTGTGGTGGCGTTTTATGGTGTACATTTGGGATGAGGAACTGAGGTGGCAGCAAGCTGAGAGAAGAATAAATGCTATGAGGAGATGAATGGGGAGGGTCGTTTGGGCATAAGGGGTTGGGATAGGGCAGGTGGTTGCTTTGGGGAACAGGCAGGCTGGGTACTGGGGTTGGATATTAAGCAGTAAAGCCAGATGCAGGGTGCAGGTGGGAGAGATGAGATGGTTTGGGGGTGATGTTAGAGCATTGCATGCAGATTGGGGGGGCAACAAACACAGGTAATGAGGTGGGATTAATGCAATGATACGGAGTTTGGATGGGTGTGAGTGGTAACCATGGTGTGTAAAGTTGGTCTGGGTTTGTTATTAAGGATGTGATAAACGAATGGTGTCTTCAACTGTCTTATTTGGGAGTGAGACCGGTCAGCCTAAAAAATAGGGCCTGAGTAGGCAGCTATTGGATCTCCATCAGTTGTTTCAGAGCAGAAGTGCTAGCAATCCCAAAAGATGTCAGGCTCTCTAGGGCTCTGTTAAGATGTATGAACAGTGTCACTTTCCCCTACCATGCAGATGGTTTTATCCATCACATCTTGAATCCTGTGGAGTTCTAGATATATATTTTTTTTTCCTCTTCTTTTCAGTTATTGGCATTTTCAGTATTTGCTATTTAGGATGTCTGAGTTTTGCCTTTTATGTTTTTTTATCTGATTTTGGAGGAATCTTCTTTACTTTGTAGTTACCCCCATAACAAGCATAGTCTTCTGTCTTTTTTTAGAGCACAAACCAAAAACCGTCCACTGTGCTGTTTAAGGTGACCAGGTTTGTGTAGTACTCCTCTGATCCCTGTTTCCCATTGTCATCTTCCATGAGCAGTCCCCATTCCCCGAAGTCTGACTTGATAGGATTTGTTACTGGATCTTAAGCCTTATCCATGTGTACAATTTATGCCACTTGCAAATAGGATAGTTTGTGTTTGCTTTTTCCCACTGAAGGAGTTAGTTGATAAAAGGGTATTCACACAACAGCTTTGGTTATGTGAGCTCAGCTAGCCGAGCTTTGGTCTTTAGACAAGGCCTTCTTCTATTAAACTTTTAGTAGAGCAGGATTCCTATTGACAGAGTAAGCAGTGATGGGCTGATGTATGTGAGAAAGCTCTCCACTTCATGGCTGTTTCTAGCACTTTTAAGAATGTTTGCACTTTTAGATGATTTGTGAAGAGACTTACGAACTCAAGAAGGATGGAAAATCAGTGAAGATGACACGTATTGATTTGGGTGCAGAGGGAGGATTGTTTTGCTAGAGGTTTATTTATTTATTTTAAAGCTGGCAATTTGAATGCAGTGTTTTCCAAATGGAAAACAACTTCAGTGGCTGAGTAGTGCATTTTAGGTCTTAAAGCAGTTGACAAGGTAAGAATTTTCAGGGAGAGAGCTTAAGTGTGAATTGATTTGTGACTCTGTTAGCTAGGAAATAGCTCAAGTAGTGTGAGTGGTTATCAGTATTAGAAGGCAGAAAATCTCTGCAGCTGTAAATTCTTCAGCTTACACATCTGTGCCTCTTAAGGAAAAAATTAAATATGGGAAATGCTTAAACTGTTGAAGCAATCTTGAGAGGTTCTGCTGGTCACTACGCTCATCAGTAATTTCCTGCTGCTGAAAGGAGGAGGAGGTCTCTTCCTCTTTGTCCCTCCTCAGAGATAGGAAGTGTTATTCCCTTTATACTAACCACTTTAATTCAGTAACACATTGAAAAACTCCTGCTTGAAAACATGGAGTTTTCAGTTGGACTGCTGGAACTGGCTGTGAAAGGGCTTGGGGAGTCCTCATGCTGTACCAAGGTGACTGCCAAAAGCAGGGGAAACATGGGAAGATCTAATCCTTTTGGCAATGATGAGCTGTTAGTTCAGCTTAGTTCTTGTAAAATGATACCAAACTCATTCAGGCCCACTTGTTCTCTACCCATCCTTTTCATTATAGCTGCAGATATTACCAAGCTGTCACTTAACAGAGGTTTGACTGCCAGGAGCATTGCAGTTGGGATCTCACCGTAGGTCTAAATATGGAGGAAATATATTTGGAGGTGAACAGTCAGAGCCAGTTTATTTTGAAACAGATTTGCTTCCTGCCCTGCAAGGCTGGACCTTGCAAGAGCAGACTGTAATGAAGCATCTGCTTCAAAGTACTGTTAAAGGAAAAAAAACAACAACACAAGTCTCTTAAAAAAGTGTGAATTGATAGATGGAGTTCTGTTACAATCTCATCAAGGAAGGTGTTGGTCTTTAGTAGTGATCTATATTTGTTAGCCTCTTCATTCCTACAGCAAACCTTTCTGTAATTTGTGGGGTTTGGGGAGCATCTGTATCTCAAGAAAAAGGTATTTTTTTCAGTTGTATTTTGCAGAAGGGAAAGCAGCCACCATAGTAGCTGTGTAGATGGAGGCATATACTTCAGACTTTTTCTGAAGAGAGAGGTTATACCAAAGGCTGCATCTGGATTTGCTAGCTTTTCCAGCTCTGTGAGGCTGAAGTAGTTTCCTCTGGTCTAAGTGACCCGATGCCATAATTAACTGCTATCTCATTTCTGCTGATACTGCTGCTGTAATCTGTTTATTTACATGATTTGTCTGAAAAAAAACACCACTCAAGCCCTCAAAACAAACAAAAAACTCACACAGGCACCAAAAACCAAATCCATATTAGCCAGTTGTTTTTAATCTGCAGTGCTTTAGCAGCCTGGTTTGTGGCATGACTGTACATACTCTATTGGCAGTACTAAGGGGAAGAGGGTCAATCGTCAGCTCTACCACCAAAGACAGGAACATGTAACTGTGTTCTTTGAATGTGGTTCTGCCAGCAGGTGAAAACATAAATGAGGTGAATCTTCATGGCCTTTTATCCACGGCCTATCCTTGTGGCCCTTGTATCTCTGTGTGGATGTGGAGTTTCACAAAAGAAGGGAGAGCAAAAGAGACCCTTACAGCAGTGGCATACCGAGGGTGTTTTGCTGGAGAATGCTTTCCCAAAATATCTGTAGCTGAAGTAAAGCAGGTAGACATGCTTGATTTAGACCTGTTGATGCCAGCTGTTGATCTAGTAATCCTGCAAGTCTGGCAACAGACACAGATGAAGAACAGTACCAGAGAAGTTTGTGCTTTGAGAGAGAGTAGTCATTTGGAAATAAATTATAATTAATTTTCAGCAGATTTTTTACTGTTGAGATTAAGCCAAGAGAGTCTTTGAGGAAAATTGTTCACATTTGTAAATTACTGCACTAGATCAATGCCATTAGCAGAAGATTTTTCAGTACTGACAATGTACCAGGGAATCAACTGGAAAGTTAACTTTCTCTGTGAAATGCATTTTTTTTTTCCTGACAGTAGTTCCTTGAGAGAGCTGGGTGGCTTAGGAATTAAAAATTAATCCTGTTTCTTCCTTACTTGACTTCTGTGACTAAGGCTTAACCAATGGCTTGTGTGTTCCAGTGTGTGTTGAGAGGTGACTGTCAAGAACATGACACTAGCACTAAGCTTTGGTACAGCTCTGTGAAATGAAATAGTGTGCAAGGAGGGCAGTGTCTGTGTTTCAGGTCAGAATAGAACAGGAGACAGAACAGGTCATTATTACTAATCAGTGTTCTGGAATGTTTTATGAGCTTTTTAGTTAATCAGTAATTGTTTTGCCTTTTTGTTTTTTCTTTCCATGGCAGGAAGGTAAAAGGAGGCAACATAGATGTGCATCCATCTGAGAAGGCCCTCATTGTCCACTATGAAGTGGAAGCAATGATTCTGGGGGAGCTGGGAGACCCCATGCTGGGGGAGCGCAAGGAATGTCAGAAAATGTAAGGTCATGGCAAGTTTTGATAGAGTTTTTTGTTTTTTATAGATTCATAAGTTCATTGACTTAAAGCATCAACAGCATGTAAGAAACATGTTCTAATCTGTATGAAACTTAGTGCTGGAGTAACAGAAGGTTTAGAAGCCAGGAAATAACATGCACCTAGGAAAATTAACCTGTTGTAAACTGCTTTTCATCCATGGACTTTAAGGTGTTTTGTAAAGAAAAGTAATTATTCCCTTTTTATGTGATGAGAGCTTGAGGTAAAGTGAAGTAATGGGTTCCTACTTAAATGATGGTTAATATAAAATATTCTTGAACCTTCTGACAGCCCTATTCTCTAACTACTAGCTCTTCTGTTGCTTTCATCTGTCACCTCTGCTAGTGATTTCACTACAGTATCTGCATTTTAATTTTTCCTGGTGTTTTTGGACCTTTCCTAGGTTTGTTTATTTCTATACTGAAACCTTTTTGGAAATTTGAGCTGAAGTGGCTGCCTGTGTGAGGGCATGTAAGGAGAGTAATTGAGGAAGAAAAATAGAATCCTTAAATTGCCTCAAATTTTTTGAAGATATTGGAAGTGTTGGTCTCTTCAGATGGATCAGCATAGCTTGCAGCTGCAACAAGGTGGAATTCCTTTTTTGATGCATCCTGTTGTTAATGCCCACAGAGGCTGCTTGTTGCTTGTGGACCTGGCTGCAGGTCTGCCAGAGCTGTGGGACACTCCTGACACTGCACCTGCAGGCACTGCACAAGAGCCTTCCTTTGTAGTCAACACACTTAGCCATTTCTCATTTTGGGTTTTTTTGTGTATGTGGTACTCGTTTGCAGTCCTGTGCACTTTTTTTTTGGGTGTGTTGCAAATGAAGTACTGACTGCTGTGTCTAAGGCTGTTGCAAGGGATCTGTTCATGCAGCTACGTTGAGTGTTGCTGCTTGTCAGCTGATGGACAGTTGTGCGCTGTCAAATCTATTACTTGAAGTTGTAGAGGGTCACTGCTTTGACCTGACCTGTATAAGCCATGGCATGGGCATTTGGGGTATCGAGATAATTTATGCTTCAAGAAATTAATGACTCTGTAAACATAAACCAAAGGATTGAAGATACAAAAATGTAAAAACTGCTAAGTGACCCATCTGTGTTGCAGCATTCGGCTAAAGAGTCTTAATGCAAACACAGACGTTGCTTCGCTGGCTCGAAAGGTGGTTGAAGAATGCAAGCTCATTCACCCTTCCAAACTTGCAGATGTAGAACAGCTGTTGTACTACCTGCAGAACCGCAGAGATGCCTCAGCAGG